TAGACTGTTGTTCTACTCCACAGCTTCCCCTGTGCTGTCCTTGAGATCACAGGTTCACATCAGTGAAAAGTCCTAGAGGAAATTGTATCGTGAACTGAGCTACTAATGCCAGAGGAGCTAGAGATTTAGTGCCAAAATGCTCAAGCTTCGTCCAAATTGCTCTCCCCCCACCCTCTTCCTTATCAAAGACCTAAGAGCACGATAATGAGTTTTTTCGCCGAAAAAGTGTAAGATATGTATGGGGAAGGGAGTTCTTTGAAGAAAATTCATCTTGCAATCAAGCAAAATTTCCAACAAAATTTTACCCAAAACGTCGTTGAGAGCAGAAATCGCCGACATGATTACAATGACGGGAATGATAATCCTGTGTATCCATGGCCGTGGATATTTCTCATAATCATTAATATATTTGGAGGCGAAGATACGTTCAATAATAACAGCTGGTAAATACAATATCATGAGGTTCAAGCACCATAAACGGACAAAGCAAGCCGTGACCAGGAGGACGCCATGGAGGAGTTTTTCTGAATAGCATATTCTCATCTTACATAGGCACTCCAAAAATTTAAATTCAGTCATGCATGTCTGCAATAAAAGTATTTGGTTTTAATGTGTATTATCAAGCCGTATTACTGATTATCTTATGATATCAGCAATGTACGATGATGAATGGTGTTGATGATGAGATAGTGTTTTGGGACTTTCTAGTTAGACCCATTTCCGAAATACTTGAAGATAGAGCTCCTCGCTAGAGTTGCTGTTGCATTAGTACACCAAGATGCCTTCTCCCCAAATCCTGCCTATCTTGTTTGTAAACAAGGTGGCAGCTTTGCCTAGTACTGCAACTTTCTGGTTTTCCTGAGAGTGAGGGAAAATTTGACGGCCTCTCCGTTGGTGGAACTCGACGACACTTTGATTTGATTTCTTAAATTGCGTTAAGGGCCTGTCCTGCTTGTTAAAAAACTTGCCTTTATCTGTGACATTATAACCTTAAGTAAAATAGTCAGTGTTCATCTGTAGATCGTTTAGCTACAGTACGAATACCGTAGATAAAATCGATCTGTAAGAGAGTTTTCACAGAAATCCGAAACCTTGCTGCTGTCTGGTGCATATGGCTATACTCCAAGCTTCAAACTTACAGTTAGACTTATCAATAATTATCGGAAAATTACTAATGATGATGATGATAGTGATTATCGTAAACTATAGCAATACCTTCAGGAGATAGAACTTGAACGTCATAGAGAAATAACACCATACGAGACATTATAATCGGATAGAAGCAAACCAGTAGAGCCTGTAATAATGGCAACATTTAATGAGTGGTTAATTTCTAATAAAACTATCACATATTTNCATATGGCTATACTCCAAGCTTCAAACTTACAGTTAGACTTACCAATGATTATCGGAAAATTACTAATGATGATGATGATAGTGATTAAACTCATAAACTATAGCAATACCTTCAGGAGATAGAACTTGAACGTCATAGAGAAATAACACCATACGAGACATTATATTCGGATAGAAGCAAACCAGTAGAGCCTGTAATCATGGCAACATTTAATGAGTGGTTAATTTCTAATAAAACTATCACATATTTCAAAATGTCGATTTCATTTCGCTCTCCTCTGAAACGTTGCAGTCATTAGGTTGACATTGCTTACCAATCCCCCGTCAAGTATAATAGGATAGTTATGGATACAGAACTCTCCCCCTTTGATATTTTTCCCTATTGAATCGATATCATAAAATGTACAGATTTCTGACTCACCCTAAGTACTACCTCTACACAGGAGACTATTCCAACCAAACTCTCCTCCTTTAGGAGAGTTTGGTTGGAATAGTCTCCTGAATAGAGGCAGTACAGAAATGAATGATTCCAACCGAACTTTCTTTGTTTAGAAGCTGCTTTCCAGGGGTACTCCACTGGCTTTAATTATACCTTAATGTCCTATTAAGCAATTTGTTTCAAATATGTAGCTTTTCTGTTTTGTAATTTACATTTTTGATCACGGTATAAAGAATAGAGTAATTCTAAGCTCTAGCAGGTTTTCGGAAAGGCATCGCGCCATCCCGAAAGATTCACGTTTTTTGTAGATATCGCTTCTATAGAAACCCTTAAATTTTCAAGCGAGCGATTACCTCCCATGCTGCTTCTGGTGTTGGACTCCTTATCTTACAAAAACGATATGACACCATAAAAGCATACGGTATTCTACCGAGGCTNGCAATTTGTTTCAAATATGTAGCTTTTCTGTTTTGTAATTTACATTTTTGATCGTGGTATAAAGAATAGAGTAATTCTAAGCTCAAGCAGGTTTTCGGAAAGGCATCGCGCCATCCCGAAAGATTCACGTTTTTTGTAGATATCGCTTCCCTAGAAACCCTGAAATTTTCAAGCGAGCGATCAGCTGAGGCAACTCCCATGCTACTTCTAGTGTTGGACTCCTTATCTTACAAAAACGATATGACACCATAAAAGCATACGGTATTCTACCGAGGCTGAGTTTGGTAAATACGGCGGCTGCGTCATAAAAAGAACCCTGGAATTTGGGTCTCCCTAGCACTACGTAGATGAGCATTTTCATGTGGCAGTTCCGAATGAATGATCTGCTTGCAGTTTCACCGAACACTGAACGCTTTCCTTTTAAGATGAGTTTAAATGGCGACGTTGGAAAGCACCGTCCGACAAGTTCAGGTTTTCACTGTACCCTAGGAGACAGGCCCTATCTATTCACATATGCCTTTTATAGCACCAACAACGTTTTTTGGAATTGAGGAGAAGGGTAGTGGAACATGACACAAGTCATAAACTGTTTGCAAAGTCGTAATATTAGCGAAATGGCAAGACAACTCGCTATAGGTTGTGTAGTTGGTATCGGCCGTAAATTCCGCTTCAGTTCAGATTTCTTCCTGGATTCCATGGGGTTCCTGTGTAAGGACTATAGACACGCTTATACGTATAACATATGCGGCTAGCTCTTCCGTGCTTATTTCCCTAACTTGAAAGAAAGAGGTCGAAATCAAAACTCGGCCACTTCACCTTTGTAGGCTCCACAGAATCCAAGAAAAACTTAGGCTACTGTGAATTTTCGGCAGATACTTTCCGTACATCTTCATACAGCTTCTTCTCCAATATCTCACATAAAGGTTCATTTAAAAGTCAAGGATCAAGAAATTACATAAATGAGTTAGCAGCGCTCATTATCGGTGCACGAGTGTATGTCATCTGGATTACAAGAAGTGTCCACTCTAATAGTAACTAGTAGTAATCAGAACGCCTGATCCTCGGTCCCTTCAAGCAATCGACAGTATGTTGCAGGATATACCGGAAAAAAATAATAGCCCTACACCATTGAGCAAAGTACAAAAAAGATCTAGTCATGATTGATTTCAACTAAACTCCATGGCCTACCAAAAATTAAAATGGCTGTTTTTTCTATGAACACCATCACGAGCTACCTTTTTTCGTTGTGCGAAGTGGACTAGAAGTTATGAGGATAAGAGGATGTTACGATAATGGAAAAAATAAATAAATTCACACATACCATCGTTGGGGTATTTAGACATTCTAGAACAATCATGGAGTTATTACAGTGATATCGGAATAGGCTTCCATCATCAGGCTATTTTGAGGGCTACTACATGTCAGGGGGGGACGTGTATTTTTCCAAGAACCTCAATTCGACACAATACACTGCTGTTCTCGAAGACCAGCAAAATTTTTGTCGAGTAGAAACTTGCGAGGCAACTAGCAAACACCGGCTAGACTATAATTTAGCTGCTCATAAATACAGCCGTCCAGCTTTGGTTATGGCGTAATCACCTACACAATTACTGTTGTTGTCAGGTGAGATGAATAGAGTGCATTCTTATTGTAAATAAAACCATCAAGTATTAAGTGACCTCGTTTATTCCAAACAAAGCTCACCTGTGTAATCCGTACAAGATTTTTGTGAAATAATGATGTTTTGTTGAAGACACGTATCACCGTAGGAAGAAATGCTAGTGAAAAGCAAATAGCCAGAAGTTCAATAGCGACCAAAGTCCAAAATATTGGACATCCGAGTGGCTTAGAACTGACGAGGGATAAGGTGAAGTTGTTATTACCAATCGCTACTTTGATCATCTTCACCTAGAGGAACGACTTAAACGACAGATACCACAATTCAAACTGCTACTATTATAATTTCACTCTCAATAAATAAACAATGAAAAGGTCGCAATCGCACCAATGCTCTTGCTGAGATTAGGTTGTACTCAGGAAAAAAGCGAGGAGAGCAAGGAGCCTCAACGGCGATACAAACAAAAGCGTGATTCTACAAAACCCAGGAAAGTAATTAAAAAGTAATTTCCGCAGAAACTCCGCAACTCACTTCGTCAAATCCCGAAGTTTTGTGCTGACAAGCATGGTTCACTGATAATTTCTTATAATGAAGGGCTTTACAAAGAAATGTTGTAAGAAATTACCGAAGAAAAGTTTCAGAAATCTTAGAAAATTGGGCGTTTCACCCTTGATTACCATGCCAACGTGATTGATGGTTGTTTTGTTTTGTACAAGGAACAATGTGACATGACATAGTGGGGGTGTCCCTCCTCCCCAGATTCCGCAAATAGTTTTGCAAGGTATACAAAGCTTAAGGGGCTTTGCCTGAACCCGCCCACAAAATGATTTCTATGACTCTTTTGATGATTTCTTTCTGAATTTTTCTTCTTAATTCAAATTCTACTATCCATGGAAAAAAGTCAAAGATTGGAGTACCAGCTGGTTATTTGCTGCACTTCATCTACCCTAAGCTTTCAACATAGTGAAAGAACAGCTCAGTTTTCTTACGATGGACGGGACTGATTGGTACGACCTCACCTCTTCGTGACGACATTGCTCCACTGTCTCATCCCTACAGAAACTCTGCAACTTGGTGACTGTCGGCAATTGTATAGGGTTGTGAATGGAGAGACCAGGATGATGTCCACTTGCCCATTGTCAGCAACATCTTTTCATCTTTCTTATGATTTACAAGACTAAGATAGGATACTATATCTTCAAGAATAGACAGTATGAGCGGTAGGGATAACGTAACTTCCTGTTATTGGATAGTTTCATGCGTTGTCGTATAGGAAATTGACCCATTACAGCAGCTGTTATTCCACTTTCATTTATTAGGTTCGATAATATTTTACGAAGCCCTAACTTTGTTTTTTTTT